ATTGAAACTTAAATTTGTTTTTCTACTCTAAATTCAACATTTTGCTGCTGTTTCATCAAACAGTAACCATGCCAGTGCAGACATACTCATCTCGCACACACACACACACACACACACACACACACACACACACACACACACACACACACACACACACACACACACACCACTCCTCATCCTCCTCCCTGCTCTGCTGTTTTGTTGTTGTCACGTGACTAAGCTGCCTCAAGCAGACACAAGCTCGCTGCAGTGCATGAGAAATGGAGATATTCTATGGCTATAAATGAAAACACTGCAAACAGCGATGCATGTAGAAAAGAAATTCCCTTTTGTGGCAAAACAAACAAACAGAAAGGAAACAGTTTATTTAAACACCGGGAATAAGAGATATTTCCCCACAGAGCAAGCAGTAAAAGAATCTTTAGGAGGAGGGAAATTCCTCAGACACACCCAGGACCCAGCACAGAGGTCAGAGGTCACTATCAGAGTCTTTCCAGAAAGGCAAAGAACATCCAGGTAGCTCAAAGAGTTTCATCAACACAAGCACACTTTCCAGGTAAGCACATTTAAATTCCAGGTCTCCAAGAATGTTTCAATTTTATTTGTCACATACACAGTTATAGAAGTATATCGTACAGTGAAGTGCTCAGACTGACTGTGCAAGTAAAGAGGAAGACATAATAAAGATGAATTCAAATAACATTTTGAATAATAGCTATCTAATATAAATAACTAGAAGGCCAACCATAGTTTAGGGGTGAGTACTGGGTACCGGGGAAATGGTGGGGTGGGGCAGCCAACAAGTGTTCCCATCAAGCAACCAAGTATTAGTGACAGTGTATTGGTATAACTGTTACATGGAAAGATGGAAACTGTTATGGAAGGACAGAAATACATTGTTTTTGTGCATGTGTACTGGTGTTTTTCTTGTATTTCTTCAGCCACCCTCACCAGGAGCAGTCACGTTCCCCTGTAACAGTTCCAGTGAAGGAAGTCTTAGAGGACAGAGCATCTATTTGCCTTCTTTTTGATGGGTGAAGGGCACAGGACAGCCCGAACGACCTCATCAAACACAGTTTTAACGCCACGTTGCGTCAGGGCTGAGCACTCCAGGTACTGGACAGAACCTAAGGACGGGAAAAAGAAGGCATCTGGTTTATTACTGGAATCTGCTGTCTTCCATGAATTATAATTAACCATTTAAAAAAGTATCAGAGATAACTGAAGCCATTACCAATCTCTTTGGACAGGGCCACTCCTTGAGAATAAGTAATTGGTGAGATTTTATTCTTCTTCAGCTTTTCCAGGGTGTCCTTGTCATCTCTCAGGTCCAGTTTGGTGCCTACGAGGATTATGGGAGCGTTGGGACAATGGTGTCTCACCTCATGGCACCACTACACAGAGATAACATTTACAATTTAGGGATATAATGTTTTAGATCGTTCAGTGTTATCTTGAACACTTTATTTTATCAGTGCTGCAACTAATTGCCATTTGCATGAGAAGCCTGCTAAAGATGCAAACCAAGAATCCCAGCTGTGCACAAAAACTAGAATAACCAGATTTTCCAATATTTCCAGTGTTTGTTATCCTAACTTCTGTAAAGATCTCTCAAAACTATCTCTGAAAATGTCATTCAGTAAACACTTTTTGATGGAACTGCAAATAAACAATGCACCATTTTGCCCCAAATCCTGATCCAGTAAAACTCTTGGCTATAAGGGGGAAACCTCTGCGCAGCCAAACACACCTAGAGTAGGGGTGTGACTTGTGCCATCAGCCAGTGACATTTGCCCACTTGGTGATATGAGTGACTTTTCTGTCTTTAGCCTGTGGTGACAGGCTGTTTGGATTGTGACTAACTGACGGTTTCTTGTAAACCTAGTGGAAGTCCTTTTTTGGGGGGGTAAATATTTATCTATTTGGTTCATTACTAAGCTACAATAATTCAAAGAATAGGCAAAGTTTGACATCTTCAAGTTCAAAATTTATAGAAAACAAACAAAACTTGGTCTTGTTTGGTGTTGGTCTCTTACACCCTTTCCAATGGAAAGTGGTTATACCGCACATGGTGTTAAACTTAAGTGGGAAACAAGTGTGACACACTGACAAATGTGTCTAATATCAGGCTAAATAATATGTAGACCAGGTCCTCTGCCAGATCTCCCAACACACCCTCACACATTGGGTAAGAATTTGATGACAAATTCTTAAGCATAAGAATTTGCTTAAGTTTATCTTAAGATAAACATTTGTCAGCTGTCTCCACTTTCCTGTGTTCCTTTCATTTTATGACAAGTTGGAATCTGTACTATAATTACCTACACAACGTCCTGTTAGTTACAACTTTACTTTCCATCATATTAGTATCTTTCAGGAACTGTAGCTGCATTTTTCCAATGAGCTTATTGATTAGTTTTCCATCTACAGCTGCTTGTGCCTGTTTGGCAGCACAGGCATGAAATGAATGAACAACATGATGTCGACTACTCACCTTATGACGGACGTTTTCATACGAGGCAGGCATCACGAGTGAAAAGCAGATGAGAAACACATTCTGGTAAGACAGAAATACCGAAGTAATCACTGCCTGTAACAACCACTTCCTGTTAAGAAGGGTTTTTGAGTTTTATGCCAAATCTTTAGCTAATAGCTCTTTGGAAATCACCTTGTTTGTGCAGAAATACTTTTTAAAATGTCTGTTAAATTGTTATGTTTGAGATTTTTAGTCAATTCAACTAAAGAAATGGGAATAAATAATGTTTTTGCAGGTTTATAGTAACAAAGTGCTGGAAAACACAATTAAAAATCTGTCGACATAACAGTGGTTCATCCCTCAGCTTAAGTTCGTTTTTATACATGATTCTTAAATGGTTTAATTAAATAAGTAAATAAACACTGTAGAACTATTGCTCAAGAAGACTTAGAAGTGAGATATCAGGAAATGAGGGGAGACTTTTGCACAATAATGTAAGTGAACTATAGCACAACATTGAGTGATTGCTGACAATCAGAACGTAATCATGTTTTTGTTGTGCTTGTTGTACCGTCTCTGGGTAGGAAAGGGGGCGGAGTCTGTCGTAGTCTTCTTGTCCTGCTGTATCCCAAAGGCCCAGGTTCACTGACTTCCCATCCACCATAACATTGGTGGAGTAGTTGTCGAACCTGATAGAAAATGAAGTGCGTAGAAGCTAAACCTTCAGGCTTAATATAAAATGGTAAAACATTACCTCTACTAAAATAAAAAAACAGGAGAACAAGGGAAATCGATTGATTTATTGTTTCATTATTCCACTCCTATGATTCTAAAATCCTCTGCAAGGCTAATTTTAATATAAAAAATTCACACGATGTCAAGCGATGCCAAGCATGATTGTGTAAGGATTGTGCAGGAGGATGAAAAACCAATTACTGACTTACACAGAGGGGATTTCCTCTCCGGGAAAGGCATTGGTGGTGTAGCCGATGAGCAGACAGGTCTTACCCACTGCTCTGGAATGAAGAAGAGGCTGGATTAGCATTTATTGAAAGAAGGCAAAAAACTCACCAAAAGTTGTTACTGTTCATCTGGACGTAGCGTTTTCAGCGGGAGAAACGTTTCGTCACTCATCCAAGTGACTTCTTCAGTCTTTTATAAGTTTTCCCCAAGCTTATAAACACTCTGTGAACGGCCACTGATCAATGATCATGTAGTTAGTTAGGATTATGTGTTAACTAATTATTTCCACAATAATTAGTTAAATAAAAAAATAAAATAAAATAAAACAAATAATTAACCACAATTCAGTGGGTTCCACACTGAACTTAGAGGAAAGAAAAGTATTGATCCTATTGCGCTAGTATCAGTCCAATACCAATAACAGAGTAGGTATCGATATTATCGATGTATGTCTTTCTAATCTTTCGCTGAGTGAAGTTAGCTCTTTCTTTTCTCCCTGTGAAATACAACAGCTGGACCTTTAACTAGCAACACACTTTGAGTCAAACTGCACATAAAACGTTTGTGTGTTTGCTGATGTTTGCTGAGCTGATAGAAACGTTGCATTTGAAATGATCTGCTAAATAAAAAAGATACTACTCCCTTTATGCTCTCGTCTTCTGTAGGGCTAGTTAGATGCTGAAGTAACTAACAGACATTAAAAAACAAAAAACTTAGAAAAAACCTTGAACCCCCGACTTCACCACTTCACACGGTTTTGCCTTATATTCATCTCATTTTATGCGACATTCCGTGGTGATTAATTGCCTTTAATGTGTCAGCATCGAGTTTGAAATTGCTGCATCGCTAACCACCTGTAAAATATCAATATCAACTACTTATATGAAATGAACTCACCCGTCTCCAACGACAACACACTTAATGGGTTGCATTGTGCTGTAGCAGCTGGAGAAATGCTGTTAGCCCGGGAGCCAGCCAACAACAGCTCATTCTCATCATGCTGCCTTGCTTTAACCTTGAAAGTCGGATGCTGGTGCTGCGCTGGGAATGTCGTCCGCGTTCCAGTGCTCGGAAAACAGGTTTTTTTTTTGCACCATGGTGGAGGCCTCCGCCTATCAGGAGCTACGACAAAGCAAAGCATGTTTTTCGTTGTTGTTGCTGTTGTAATCCTGGATAGAGCCCGCTCGATCATAAGTACACATCAGGTGGTACTAGAGACTTCAAGTATTACAGTTTTGTTAAATACTGTTTGCACGCACTGTTGTCACCTCGAGTCACAAGTCGGGGTTGGTGGGACTTCTCCCACTTTCTTCTTTCGTCTGTTTCCTTTAAAGGTCTCCATCTGTCCCCACACCTTGCATCCTCTCCTGTCACCCCAACCGTCTGCATGTCCTGCTTCGCTACATCTACGGATCTTCTCTGTGGTCTTCCTCTTTTCCTCCTGCCAGACAGCTCCATATTCAGCATCCTTTGACTTCTCGGACTTTCCAAGTGGAAAATCCGAATTTAAAGAGAATTCCAGTTGAAACTCCCATTTGGAGGAGCTCCAGATAATGTCATAACTTTTAATGCGAGTTGACTCATAAATTTCCTGGATATATTCCCATATTTCACGGGCTGCTCCGGAAGTAGCAGCAGCAACCGCTTCTGAGGTTTAAAAAATTTGCCGCGCTTGTATTGTTTTTGTTTCAACTGTGTAACAGTGTTATTATTCCTCCGACAAGGCAAGTCTCTTAATGAACCTTTCGGGCTTTCGTCCTCAACCTTGATGTAGTTATTATTATTATTTTTTTAATTTTATGTAATGAAGAACATGAAGGAAAAGTGCACCTAAAAGATTAACCCCACACTTACAGTCATATGCTCATACAAGATTTTATTGGCTTTTTTTAAAGTGAGGTAATTGAAAACGGATATTCCTGGTGTCATCTTAACAAAGTGAGTCAGTCTAACTTCTGTGTAAACAGGTTATGGCACATGAAAAGTG